CCTGGGCCACATGGATGTTACTCTATATTAACTATAGAGTTAACTATAGAGTTAGCTCTATATTTAATTAACTTTTTTATCTTTGTCCTGACAGCAAAATTTAACCAATCTGCACTTTGGGTATGGTGTTAAGTAGGGGACCAGTTTAATTTTTTCTTAATAATGAGTCAGTTTTCCCAATGCCACCACTAAATAATTTCTTCTTTTTTCAATGGTGTGTGCTACTACCAATTTTACTAGATGTTAAGTTTCCATTTATTCAATGGTTTCTGTCTGGGCTCTAAGTCAAAATCCATTAGATTATTTTTCATTTCTTATGCAAAACCCACAGAAGAAATTCTTGGTAGATGCATGTCACTCTTTAACAAGATATACTACTATATTAACATCATGTCTGAGGTCAAGTTGGAACTTCCACCCCGTCGAATTTGACCTAAGACACCATTTTATTAGTCATTAAAGATAACATTAAAAATAGAAAAAGAAAAGCAAAGAATTACTTGCCTCCACAATGCTCAGGAGTCATTCATTTATTCATCTGCTTACTCATTCAACAAATACTTATCAGATGTCTGCAATGTACTGGGATTCACAATGATTAGTGCTTGGGATGCATGGGCGAGCCAAAAATGATGGGTCATTGAGGTCATGAAAAGTTATAGTCCTTGGTGAGAAACAAATATTCATGAAATAATTAGTTAAACAAATTTAGCATTGTAATTGTGACAAGTGCTCTAATGAAGAGGAAGCTATTTAATGAAGATTTGACCTTCTTTTAGAGAGGATCTGACCTGTTAGAGAGAAAATGAATGTTGATATTTATAGGATGGGTGGGAGTTAACTAGAACAGAGGGATAAGAAAATTCCAGGAAGAGAGAAAGCATTACCTAAAGCACTGGTGATAGAAGTCTGGATAGTGCAAAGGTCTGAAAAAATACTGCTATGTTCGTGTGTAGCACTGTTTAGAAGCTAGCTAGCAAGAATGCCTAGACACAGCCAGCAAGGGAAGAAGAAAACGAGAGACACTGCTGTCAAAGAAGCCAAGAACAAACACTTTTTAGACCAGGTTATCTCACAAAAAAAGTGGGTTTCTTGCCTCTGGGTCCATTTAAGAAGGTAGCATTTCACAATCTATGAAAAGATATTAACAAATGATCTTTATATTGGTGGTAGTTTTTCATCCTGTAAAGAATGTGGCTCGTATTTCCTTTTACACTTGAGATTAATCTTCTCTTTTCTTTTAGAAAGGAGTTGGCTTGATGTAAATCTCAAGTGGAGAGTACTTGTCCTACCCAATTTTTTAAAACTTCCTTAGGTGCTTCTATTGAGCAAGTGCCCTTTCTTGTTCACCACATCATTCCCGATGCCAAGAACAGTGCCTGAGACATAATAGCTCATAAATACTTGTCCATTTAGTTCATCAGTAAAGAAAACAATGGAAAAACTGTAATTTTAAGGATATAGTCATTCATAACACTCCTGAGGAACTTATGTCAACAGCATCTATTAAAAGTAGGCCTGACCTTGTGAACCATGTCTGGTCATATTCTGCACAATTGCCTAAGAAGTCATTCACTGACTTGTTTTTATTGAAGGTCTAAGTAAAAGTACTATAATAAAAATTGATTCCTTGTTTATTTCCCATACTATTCCTTATGAATTTCAAATATGCATTTTGAAAAGCAATGGAAATTGATTTAGTATACTGTTTTATTGAGGCCAACTTTGCAAAGAACTTCAAAGACATACAGACAGCATTAAAAATAAATGTTTCATTTGTTAATCAAATCAGCAATTAAATTTTTCTCCTACTATAAAAAGATTCTTTAAAAAAAATGGTCCACGTTTTCAGGAAGTACACAGCTAGAACGAACGGTGGCATATCATCTTAGTGTTACATAGTTAATTTATTTGCCAGACAAGGTTTAGGGGTTGTGTTCAGGGGAAGAAATCGAAGGATTGGAATGTAGTCAGTGAATTAACAATGGACTTCAGCCCCAGACCGGGACATGAAGAGAGGTATTAGAACGTCAAGACTAGGGAGCTGTCATGGAGATGAGGTGGGGTGGGTAACATGAGTGGGTTGTAGAAATACGGGGGGTGGGGTGGGGAAGAAGGTTTGTTATCCATTCTAACACTTAGGGAGCTCTTAGAATATGCTCTTATTCTGTATGTCTTTCATGCATCATATCATTTAATCTTGCAACAACTCTGTTAAGTAATCTAATTGTGCTAATTTTATTGTGATTATTAGATATTTTTCTGTCTACTCTCACCTAAAAGTAAGCAGTGTCCTTTAATCTTGTTTTTCCCCCATAGGCCTGTGTTTCCTTAGCTTTTCAGCTCCATTCTTTGTCATGGGCATCATGCCAAGGTGGACTCACCCTAAAGATCAAGGGTCCGTGTGGACCCGCCTCCCCAGGCTCCAACAGTGGGAGCTCAGGGGGAGCTGTCTCTACCAGTGACCAGGTGGGATTTTTTGTTGCCATCCATACGTTTACTTTCTAGTTTCCAAAATTAGACAATTGTGATTCTAGCCTGCATAGAAGTGACCCCACAGGCCTTCAGTTGTTGTTCATTTTTTTAGGGATGACTTGTTCTGGCTTTTTATCAGAAATGAATACCCATTTCCAGCCAACCTTCTCAAACAGTCAGTCCCAAGAAATCTAACTAGTTTAATTTTATAGGTGAACGTGACCATAGATAGCACCTAGTATTACACTGAATATCTTACTTAGCCAATGGGTATGCTGAGGCCTGAAAGGTTACGTGAGTAGCCCAAGACACAGAGGGCATTGCTCCTGACTTTTGGTCTAGTGCACCCTGTATTAGAGCACAGTGGAAAAGCATTCAAGTCAGCAGAAGCATCTTCACAGCCAAAAGACATTCTTAAAAAATAATAAATCCTCTACCCACATTTCATTCTCTTCAAATTTGTTCTTATTGTTTCAAAATTGTATTGCAGAGAAATTCATTTCTGTGACCATACAGTCTAAAAGAAATACATTAAATAAATTGGGCCACTTGTTTAGAGTAAGTAGTGTATTTTTCACACCTTTGTTTAAAAAAGTTTCATGATGAAACAACAAAAAACATAATCACATTTTTAATAGCCTCAATCGCTTATCTAATGTGAAAGATGAAAATAAATATGTAAGACGAATTTTTTCTAATTGCTCTTCCACTCTTTTTTGGAATGAGGAAAATATGAACCACCTTTAAAGGCATTAGATGTTAAAGGCGAGGCAAGAGCTCGGAACCGTCCCATTGTCAAAGACTATGATGATAGCCTGAGTAAATTTCTGGAACCTGAAAAAAACTAGCTTGCTTCTTTATTCTTTGGGAAGCTTCACGCTAGAGATCACATTGTCATCATTAGTAGGGTGATGTGTGTTTATGAAATCATTGCTGGAAAAACATGAGGATTAAACATTATAGAAACAGAAGGATGGCAACTATAGTCTCATTTTGGTGACCCAGGTTTATTTGATTACCCAAGATTCTCAACGATAAGTTTAATGGGTATGAAGACAAGAAAACAGCCTATTATGTGATTATTCACTGATAAAATAGAGCATGGGACTAATATATAGAAGGTAAAGCTTGTATTGTTTGACATTACTTACAAGTTTAAGTGTGTGCTCAACATGATGATAATTCGGGCTTTGTGTATAGTGATATTGGAATGGTGCATTCTCAAGAGTTGAAATGGTGCAAGAGTCATGCATGGCTGGCTTTTCAAACAGGTTTCTCCAAACATCCTTGAGGAGACAAACTAAATGAAATGGAACAGACAAGTTTCTCCTTTGTGGTCAGAGTTTCCTGGTTTAAGTCAGTGATTGAGAACAAGTGCAGAAGGATGAGTCAGAAAGCCCCGTCATCGCTTTCGGAAAAGCTGAAAGCCTACGACTTTTATGTCTAATATTCCAAGTTAAGTGCTGCAATAATTCATCTGGTTTAAGTACACTTCAAGTCAAAAGGCAAATTTTATCCCATTACTCTTTTTTTTTTTTTCCACCATGAACTCTGGCTTTGGTGGTAGCAAAGGGAGAAATTTCCAGTAGATGTCCAGGAGTCTTATTTAGAAATAAGTTGTAAGAAGGCCAGTAGATGGGTTTCACTGTGACACAGGACGGTTTTGGAGAAAATCAGTACAGGCCCACATTTACCCAACATCTAGGAACTCAAGCAATGAATTGTCCATACTAACCTCAATTTTTTTCTTTAACTTATGGTCATTTTCTGGTGTCATTGTCATATTGGCCAGGAAACTTCTTTTTATTTCTTTATTTATTTTAACTTTATTTTTTTAAGAGACTGAGTGGAGGGAGGATGAGAGGGAGAGAAACAGCCATGTGTGAAACATTGACTGATAGCCTCTTGCACGCCCCCAACTGGGGAACTGGCCTGCAACTCAGGCATTTGCCCTGACCGGGAATGGAACCAGCGACCTTTCGGTGTACAGGCCCACGCTCAGACTGCTGAGCCTCACCAGCCAGGGCAAGGCCACGAGATTTCTAATAAAACACCTTCAAGACTCTCAAAGAAAGGTATGTGCTACAGATGAAAACCCTGTCAGAACTACACTTGGATGCCTGGAATAAATTTATTTCAGCAAAGAGTTTGTACAACAGTCTACCCGGAGTCTAACCGGGGAGCAGCTGTGACCTAAAACCAGATGTCTGCAGCTGGCCGGGGGCCTTTGAGGGCCTGCACCTGACCCAGCACCGGACCCGCTGGGGTTGGAGAGGCGCAGCTCAGGCCGGGAACCCGCTCCGACCCGCGCCCTGTCCCGCGGCCAGCACTCTCCCGGAGTGCGTCTTTGTAGTATTGTCAGGGCTTTGGCTGGGCAGGGCTACCTACTGATCCTGCAGGCGGACACCGGGGCGGGAGACAGATGGGCACACAGGTGACGTCCGCTGGCGAGAAACACCTATCGCAGGTAAAAGGGTGGCGGCGACAGGGAGTTCCCACCTGTTGCGCTCTCAAAGAAATAAAGACTTAGGAAAATACTAAGGAGGGGCCGATCGGTGTGTTTCGGAGGCATCTGGAGCCCCACCCTCGGCTAGAGGAAAAGCCCCTTGTGGAAGAAGCAGAAGCGTCAGAAACAGAGAAGAAAGGCGCCTCTCCCCGCGCACAGCCTCTCAGTCCTGCTGCGCCAAGGGCCCAGCCTGCGCTCCCCGGCCGCGGCCTTTGGCCCCGCGGATCCCTCCCACTCCGGCCCCCGAGTGTGTCGCCCGCGACCTGCCCCGAGTCTTCCCATGGCGGCCGCCCCAGCCAGGCGCTCCCTGAGCGCAGCGCTCTGCTGGCAGCTCCTGCTGACCCTCACGGTGAGTGGCTGCCCGGGCCACCGGCTCCCTGGAGGGGGCTCCAATCCATTGGGGGCCGAAGGGGACACTTAGAGCAGGGGTGGTGGGCGAAGCAGAGTTAGTGGGCCTTGGGCTCACTAACTAAACTCACTAAGAAGTGGAGTTGGTTGCGGTGGGGGTAGGCAGACGGAAAGAGGACGGTGCCCTGGGTGCCGCGAACCCGAAGGGGAAAGAAAAGGTGTGTGCGGTAGATATAATCAGCGCAGGCAGGTAGAGACGGAGGCAGGAGCTGCAAACGCCCATCCGAAAGCGTAGCCTTCGGGTACGAGCAGGAAGCGCCGCCCGCTGCCGCTGCACCCCTGCGCCCCAGGCGCGTTCCTGGAAAGGTTCGGTGGCTTCTGCCTCCACCAGGGTTCAGGACCACTGAAGCCGGGACCCTCCGCGCCTGCGCGACGTCTAGCGTGGTGGGTGTGTGTGGGGGCTCCAGGTGGGCGTTTGCAGTTTACTTTTTAAATTTTTTGTCGCCTTGTGTGGTTACTTTCTCCTTAATTTTTGAGAAAATGATCATCCAGATCTGTCGTACCCCGAGGCATCTGGATACTGCCCCCTGCCCTCTAGCTTTCTTCCCATTTAAAAACACAATAGCGAAGACCCTACCTGCAGCCGGGAGGGAGTGGAAGGTGGTGTGACCTAAAATTTGGGCCGAACAGCCCTCCCCCACCCTCCCTTGCAGGAATCTCCTGCGGGGACTGGAAGGCGCTGGACTCCAGTGCGAGGGAGCAGCCCCCGGGAGAGTTTGGGATCAGAGGTGGCCGGACTGGCCTTCCTGGGTCTCCTGGAAGGAGAAACGTTAAGTAGACCGGAGGCGAGAAAGTGCTCAGGTCCCTGGTGTCTTTTGACGTTGAGACTCCAGTCAAACCCAAAAGACAAAGGGACAGCCTGGCGGACAGAGAGTGGGAAGATTCCTTCTGGCAGTGGTGGGACTGGGGGAGGGCGGGGGGGGAGGGGCGGTGAAGTATTCGGATTATTTGCCTTTCTCTATTGCTCTCATTTGATAGCGAGTTCCTTAAATTTTTAAATATCGAAATTGTAGTTCTGATTATTAGAAGGTCTTTAGAACTCTGTGGACACCAAACCCCTAGCAAAATGCCTGGGCATATTAATAACAGGAAAGGCCACGTGCACAGCTGGTAACATATTGCAGTTGAGGAAACCAAGAATGAAATACCAGTCACAAAATATGTAGTCGGTAACAAATAAATTTTGGTTAGATTCCTAATAAAGGTGCCACCTCTGTTCACACCACTGGCCATTGTTCTTTGATGGAAAAGGGGTGATTAGTCACAGGCAGTAAATAGAATTGCTTTGTATATACTTACATAGAACTTTGCATTTGTCTCAGCTCCTCTTTAGAAGAAAGTGCTTGTAAGTGAATAAATAAATTGAATAATGGCCATTGTGTGGCCTTCCTTAGCTTCAAAGCAGGACAGATCAGAAGTGGGGTGGAGACAAACAGGGCACAGGCTCTGGTTGCACACCTCTTCCTGCTACATTCAAACTGGAAGGAAGGCCTAGTGTTCTGGTGATCTTGGCTGGATCTCTACACAGCCCCGCTGGTCTCAGCTGGTTATTGTGGTTGTGAGTCTCAAGTGGGTAGATGCATGAAGAGTATTTGAGTAGAAGATGTTATTAAATGAGCATGACTTTGGGGGCATCCTTTACCTGTCATGCCCCAGAGACACCCAAGGAATCCACCATTGCACAACTCAGCCCATCTGTACTTCCTAATATTGCCTTGCCTGACGTGTGTCTTAACCACTTGAACTCTGGCTTTGTCTAAATGCCAATGAAGCTTTTCTCTCTCAGACAATCATACAACTTTATTGCTAAATCCTAACAAGCCTTATATACTTCCACCTACTAGATGCGCCTTTATTCTTGAAATTCACTTCTCTTTTCTTTTGATATTCCTGACCACTCAGAATCAAACTTCCTGTTTGTTCTAGGTCTTGTCCCTAAAATGCCATACAGGTGCCTGCGTAGAATAAATTTATTTTGAACTGGCCTTTATATCTCTGTTCCTACTATGATGTGATAACAACATTTTTTCCCAAACAGTGTTACTTTTCTTCTAGTGCTCTGTATTTCAGTAAATGACACAATGACACACCTTGTTCCTTAAGTAAAAAGTCTGGAAGCTGTTTGGTTTTCCTTCCTCACTGTTCCCCTCCCTTAATTCATCATTCAGTCTCATTAAATCTGTGTCCAGAAATAGCTCATGAATATCTTTACTGCTATCCATCACCTCTGCAATCCCTCTTTGCTATTACAAATAATGCCACAATGAATCAGCCCGTATATATGTTATTTCACATATGGGCAGGTGTCGCAATAGGATAGATTACCAGAAGTGGGATTGCCAGATAAAAGTTTAAATGACTCTGTAAATTTGGTAGCTAGCATGTACTCTCTCTATCCTCCATAAAGGTTGTATGTGGCTAGGTAGAAAGCTGTTTTATGATAGATGTCATAACACTTCATTGAGGAGGGATGTAGACAATACTGTGCTATGTGTAGTACTTGATCTAGGCAGTCATTTGGCAAAAGATAAAGGTGAATCCATACCTCATGCAGAACACCACAGAAAATTCCTAACATATGAAAGATTTAAATATAACATATGCTACCATACAGAAGAACAGAAGAAAAAAATGATCAATTTCTTTTTAACTTTGGAGTCAAGAAGGCCTGTTTATGGCTCAGATTTCAAAAGCCATTCATTAAAATTGAGAAAATCAGTTGTAATAAAACACACCCAATACTTGTCCCTCGCCAAAAACTATACCAAATGAAACAAAAACATCAGAAGCAAAGTCAAAGGTAACTACCAAAGTGGAAAAAATATTTTTAGATCATACTTTTAAAGGTTAATCTAATATGCAAAGTGCTCTTCTAAATCAAGAAGTCTAACATGAACATGATATAAAAAATTCCCATAAACTATTGAAAAAGGCCCATGAAAATATTCCAGCCTCATTCATAATAAGAAATGATGAATTTAAAACTACATTGTAATGTCATTTCTTACTTGACAAACATCCAAAAATTTGACAGCATGCTGGGTAGCCAAGATTGTGAAGAAATGGAAACTCATAGAAGATTGGTGAATGTAACAAAAAGTTACTACCTTTGTGGATGGTCTACAGTTACATCAAATGAAAGTGGAAACTGTTTTACTTCTTCCTTTCCAATTTGTCTGCATCTAGCGTCTTTCAGTTTTTCATGTCCCAATATTTTATTATTTTTATTATTGAGACTTTGCAATCTTTTAATATGTGCTAGAGCTAATATCCTTTCATTGCTTTTCTTTTTCGTAATTTTCTTGTCTATTCTTAATTACTGATATTTTGTTGTGACATTTTATAACAGCTTGCCTAGTTCCAGAAAAAATACTGTTGGGATTTTTATTAGGATCATAAAATTTATAACTTAGTGAAATTAATATATTTGTGGTGTTTACTTTTTTTTCAAAATAAAGATATATCTTTATAAAGTCTACCTTTGTGTTCTTCAGAAATATTTTCAGATTTTTCTCAAATAAGTTTTATATATTTCTTGTTATGTTTGCTTCTTGGCATTCTATTTTATTACTTTTGAAAATGATTTCTTCTCTTATATTATTTAACTGCTTTTATTTATGCGTAAAAATACTAACGATTTTTATATTTTAATTGCTATTGCTGCTCCTTCACTGAAATTCTTATTGTTTTATAGTAATTTATTGGCTGATTTGCTGGGGTTTCCAAGTAAATAATCATATCAAGTGCAAATACAGATTTTTTACCTCTTTTTTTCCCATTCGTATGCTATGTAATATCTTCCTCTTGCATGATAGACATTAATGTAATGTTAACTGTAATATTGACCTTGGAAAAGCTGTCTTGTTTTTGAGTTTAGTGTGGCCACTGCTTGTGTTTTCCCATCAATGTGGTGTTTATGATACAATATAAAAATTATATCAAAGAAATACTTACCAATTCTTAGTTTGGGTCCATTTTAAAAAAATCTAAGGGTGATTATTGAATTTGGTCAAATGTCTTTCAGCATCTATAGTTTTGATCACATGCCAAGACTTTACATTAATTAATGGCATGAGGTTCCTGGACCAAGCAAGTGATATGAATGTTGATCACAAATCCATGCAAGGGGTTTACTTCCAGCTCACCCCTGCAATGAAGGCTTTGCATTTGGGTCCTGGGTTAATGTGGGCAACTCTTGTCTTAGATCTTAGGCAGGCCTGTGCTTTGATTTCACTCTTTTCTGTGGAACCAAAAGACCAGACTAAAATTTTGTCAGATTAAGATGTCATTTCTAGTTACTACTCTGTGTTCCTGCTTTATCCTGAGTTTTTGTCTAGCAAATCCTTACAAAAGAATGTATCCATCATTTTCAATTTGGGCATGGGGTTTTGTCTGAATGACATAGCTGCCATTTTTGGAAAGGAAAATTGTTCCCCAATTCATTCTCCATACTGGTCAGATTTACTGTATTCAAATGGAAAGCTTCATATGTAATTTATCTGCTTAAAACAAATCATGGTCTTTCTTTAGGAAGTAAGATCTATATATGTTGTTAATGCTATTCAGAATGTGTCCACACCTACTTCTCTGAATACATTTTAAACTTCTGTTCCTCCCATCAGTTACTCCAGATTTTCATGTTCAGCTCTGTGTCATCTCCGGGCTTTTGCATAAATTATTCCTCTCTGGAACATGCAAACTCTGCCTCTTCTTGACAGGGGTAACTTGTAGCCACTGCTCAGGTGGCATTATCTGGCTCTTACAGGAGGCCAATTTTCCCTGTTCTCCCATAACACCTCGTACTTTCCTGTCATTTACCCCACCTACTGCAATTACAAATATGCCTTACCCTTGAATTGAGTGTTTTGTGAAGATCATGTTGTTACGTCTCTCTGTGTCTGACACGTAGTAGAGATTCAACAAATATTTGTTGACTACATGAATGAATGGATATATAAGACACTTATCTAAAGTGTTGTCTTAATCCAGCCTTTCTTGCCTTCTCTGTTTTTACCCTCCTCTGTTTCTACCTTAGTCTAAGTAGCCATCCTCCCTCTCTTGGATTCCTCCCGTAGGTGATGCTGCTTCTCTCTGCACTCAGAATAAAGTCTGCACTCCTTAGTATGGCCTTTGAGATCCTACACGATGTGTCTCTGATTGCCTCTTAATCATCTATCACTTTTCACTCGCTGTGCTCTACTGTGATGACCTCCATTGTGTTCCTCTGAGACACAGGTGACGCCCCCTTCCAGGGCGTTTGTTTTGGTTTTGCGCCATCTGGAAGACCCTTCTGTTGGTGAACTGGTTTTCCCCCTCATTTCATTCAAGCTTCTGGTCTTTTTGTCACTCTCTCTCCTTGCCTTATTTTTCTCACTACTATATATATAATTTCTCATTATATATATAATGAAAGATATATATATATATATATCTCTTTCATTATGTAACCTTTGTGCTTTTGTGTATTTTATGTCTCTCATTATAATGTAACCTCAATAAAGTCAAAGACTTTGATTTGTTCACTGCTGTAGCCTTTGAGCACTGTCTAGGACCTAGTAAGCAACTTATAAATGTTGGCGGAATGAGTAAGTAGATGTTTGCTTTCAATCACCTTGAGTCCCCAGTCACCTGAATCCTGTGCTCTCTTGGCCATGCAGTGAGTGACAATTCGTCTAATCTTTTAATTTCCAGTTCAGATACACTCCTCATTGGGTCCATCCCCAACTTCCAGTGAAATATGATTCCTGCTTTGCCTGATTCTTCATGTGTAATTAAAACTAGATAGTTGAAGGTTCTTTCATGATTATTGGAAATAAAAGTTTTTATCCAAATTTTGCTGATTTTAATTTTTGATTATGGACTTTGCAAATAATGACGTCAATGTTAGTTTTACCTATCTTATGTTTAGTCAAACTACAGGAAAACTATTGTAAATCTTTCAGAAACATCCATCGTAAAATTTCAGAGAGAATGGGGTTAAATTCCAGTGTGTTTGAATATACAGTGTATTGGAATTGGTTCCAATAAATCACTAACTCATTTAAAATTTTTAAGTGAAATGTTTTGTAAAATGACCTTAACTCTCATTTATGAGAAGATGCACCTTCAAAATAAGTTTGTATTTTAAAGTTATGTGCTGGTTTCTGTGGGGTATTAAATAAATACTTTCCAAATCAATCCATGCCAATGAGTTAATGCTACCTGCTCTTTCTGAGGTTTTATTTAGGCTATTATTGATATGGTACTGCATTTCATTAAGGTGATCTACAATTAGCTGAAACATTTTGCTGGCTCATTAAATTTTTTTGTGTCTCTTTTCTATTTATACATCTGTGCTACCTTCTTAATAGTGTCAGTTCTCTCTTGCTTAGATTGTCGTTGCTTCCTCGGTGTACCTGGTAAGGTTGTGAAATGACTATTAACCTTATTTTACAGAAGACAAAACCCAATACAGTAAGAAGTTCTCTGTGCTTACATGCTTAGCAAAGGAGTGAGTCATGACTCTCAGTTTATTATTTTATTCTTCTCCTTGATAGAATTTTTTTCTGATTTTCTTACTCCAGTCTGTGTTTTTATGTTACCTTGTTAATTATATAAACTGATTCACAGTTACAAAGATTTATAGTTTATATAAACTATATATATAGTAAAAAGTATCTTTTGAATGCATATGATGTTGATTTTTTTTAGATTTCAATATCTGCCTGTGGTGCCTGCAAAAAAGTGACACTAGATGTCCCCTCCAAGCTGGACGCTAAGAAATTTGTGGGTAGAGGTAAGGAACTCCCAAAATATGTGAAATCCTAATTTGTAGGGTCTTGTACAGATAGTGTGACTTTTAGAAGGATAACTATATTGGAACTAAGAGTTAGGACTTGTACAGTATATTATTGTGTATAACGCATGTGGCACCGTTCTGATGAAAGGAATATTTTTAATGGAAAAACATGACTATAGGAAGTAGATAAAAAGGTTTAGATTGAGTAAAAAAAAACAATATTTACATTAATGGAAGGATATTGTGTGTTTTAACATGCTTCTGTGAAACTGAGAAAAAGTATTGAAATTATTTCTGAAGTTTAATGGTTTTGTCTTCAGATTTTTGTCCTAAAACATTTTGACATCTTATTGGCATTGATTTTTACATCTTATTTTTTCTGTAATTAAATTTTTTACATAACTCAACTGTATTAGAAAAGATCAGACCAATGAGAACACAGAATATGACTATTTAATAATAGATATACCTATTTTAATAAAATGATATTTTAATTCAATATCTGCCAATTTTAACTTCCTCGATGCTTTATAACTTTCTTCAAATGTACTTATGTTGCTATCTAGCCAATTTTAATTAATAAATAAAAACTTTTTGGTATTGGCAAAAATATTTGAACAATGGAGCTTTTATTTGAAAATAAATGTCCCTTCTTTAGTATATGTGCTGCCGAAGCGAGCACTAAATGTCCCTTCTTTAAAAGGATATAGTGTACCTTATTAGAAGTGATGTATGTATTTTTGTGTTTAGCACAAGTTAATTAACCATAGTTTCATATGTTCTTTAAAAATGAAAAATTTACGTGTCAGTGTAGCTAATTTTAAGTTTTTGCCCCCATATGTATACTGCTGTTAAAACTCTATGTTGGTATGTTTTACCTTGCAAATGATTGCTGTGTATATTTTTTTACAGTTAACCTGAAGGAATGTTTTAAGTCTGCAAATCTAATTCATTCAAGTGATCCTGATTTCCAAATTTTAGAAGATGGTTCAGTCTATACAACAAATGCTATTCTTTTGTCCTCAGAGAAGAGAAATTTTACCATATCACTTTCCAATACCGAGAACCAAGAAGAAAAGCAAATATTGGTCCTTTTAGAGCATCAAACGAAGGTATACTGAACGACAGAATGGAATATGGTATAATGAAGTATTTACTTCAGGTGTAACTAACATTACCAGGGAAGTTGTGGAATCAGAAAGGACGGGATAATTTAACTTGAAGATGAATGAAAACCATGACACATTTAATACTGTTCAAAGGGAAGAGGATTCTGCAACATAGAGTAACTAGAGTTTGTAATCCCTTTTTATTTCATACATAAAAAGAGAAATGGAGAGATGCTACAGCATGAAAGCTTGAGATTGGACACAAAGAAGCATTTATTGATCTTTACTGTAGGGTAGATTTTTAAAAACAAGTTTTCAAACCACCTCTGGAGGCCTCGCGCTATCTTAGACAGCATAATCTGTAGTCTTAGAAAGTAGATGACTACGTTAGGTTGAGGTTTAGACCTCATCTATGCTTATTACTTTGTGACACCCAAGTTCAAAATGGCTTCTGGTCACCATTGGCCGTTACTCACTGTAGCAGTTGGAGAGTTGCCACCAGGTTTCTCCCCTGGTTCTGACGTTGACCTCTCTGGTGGTTCCCTGACTCTTCCTACTGTTCGTGAGTGGAAGGTGCTGATGCTAAACTGAGAGGGGCAGGCATTCTACTGATTTTCTTTCCATATCCCTCCTTCCATCTTTGGCATGGCATCGTGGCAAGAGTAATTTCGTTTTTCAGTTTTGTTTCCAGGCTTCCAGTTTCATGTTTCTTTCATGTGCCCGTGAAATTATTCTCTCAAGAGGATGACTGTGATAACAGGGCAGTTATCTCTTCATTCTCTTTTTGCACTGTTGATGTTTGGTTTTATTTTCAAGCACTACCAGGGCCATAGTCCTGGCCTCAGCTAGTTCTCATGAGAGGAGGAAGATAATCAACATTCTAATGTTCGACAATAGAATGGTTGTTGACTTTATTTTTTCTCCCCTAAATTGAGGTGCTAAAGCAAAGTGATTCTAAAGAAACCATTCTGAGACGTGCCAAGAGAAGATGGGCTCCAATCCCTGTCTCAATGATGGAGAATTACCTGGGTCCTTTCCCGCTTTTTCTTGAACAGGTATAATTGACTTTTTTCCACTGTGAAGGTCTATGGTTTTCATCTTTTTAAAAAAATATTTAGACAATGCATATTTAAAAGATAGTGGTGTATGAATATATGAATAAATGTGTATGCATATCATATGTATAGATATAAAGATATATATTTATACATGGGTATAAATATATATCTTTATATCTGCGTATATTTTTTGCAGTTTTAGTCATGCAAAGGTCATTACTAAAACTGTAAAATCTATCTAACAACCTTAAACACATGGTTCCTTAATTTTCTGGGGTATAGAAAACTCCCAAACGCTTTCTGTAAAAAAAAAAAAGAAGGAAAATCGCTGATAAAAGGCCAAATGCTAAGTGGAAGATACTAACATACGAGGTCTGTCCAGGAGGTACCCAGCCATGTAATATGAAAAATAGACACATTTGTTCAAGAAGATACAAGATGTAAGAAATATTGTACACAGGACAATGACACCTGTGTCTCCTTCAGAGTAGGTACCTTGGGACCTCACACAGTTCTCCCAATTTTTCCCATCATATTTCCCTGAGTCTCATTGACAGTATGAAGTCTGTTCTCTTTCAAAGGTTATTTTAGTTATAGGAAAAGCCAGAAGTCACAGGATGCCAAATCTGAGCTGCAGGGAGTCAGAGTCACCTGGGTGATTTGATGTTTCAACAAAAAAACTGTGCAAAAGACATGATGCATGAGTGGGCGTGTTGTCATGATGAAGCTGCCAATCACCAGTTGCCCATAGCTGTGGCTTTCTGAATCATCTGAATAGCTTCTGTGGAGGAACGTTCAAGCTTAACCTAAAATTTGATGCGGATTCGTTGCTCTACTGGTTCAGTCATTTTGAATGCGACAGGCCACATAGTACACATGTTTACTCAACAGCATCTACCACCCCCACTGACTAGTACAGTGACGTCATCATTGTTCACACATTTGCAGTCCATCCACTCTCCTTGGCTGCCAGGTTACATTGACATGACACAAGCCATCAATGTTACATTAACAATGGCTGGGCTTTTTCTGGACAGATCTCGTACAACCTTCTATTGCTTATCCCCAAGTCTACTGCTTCAATTGTACTGGATTTACTTTTTTTTCTCTCTCTTTTTTAACATTTTGTGGAAACTTTAACAAATCTTTTTGCCTTCTTCCACTATCAGTGGCCACTATCATTCAGTCTATGACTTGGGTTTCTTTTCCCTGAGTTCTTGAAATGGTGAGAGAGAATCCTCCTTTACATTCTATCCAAAAATGTAATGCAGCTGAGAGAATAACAAAGTTGAGAATCAAATTGTTAGAAAATAATTGTGTTAATCACTCTGATATATAGTCAAGATTTTACCAAGAGGTTGAAAGCAACTGGGAAGAAACTTGATTTTGAATCAAGCAGCAGAATATTGCATTTGCAAAGCTATTATGCCATTTATATTCTCATTATTCCCTATCCCTCCCCATCCCAACCATGCAAACTCATCTCCTGTAATGAAGAAGGTGCTTACAAATAACAAAAGCTAATTCAGAAAAAAATTTTCAAGTTTTTGCCATGCAGGCAGAACACTTTAAATGTAGTATCTCAAATCTTTTATCATAGAGGAGTGGCAAAAGTAGGTTTACAGTTGTGAGTATGTGAAACAATTTATTCTTGTATAATTATTTATTAATTATTGTATTATTTATTTGTATTACAACTGTAAATCTACTTTTGCCCACCTTATATAAAAATTCACATTTTATTTTGTTTTTGTTTTTTAATGGCAACAGAATAATTTTTCATGCTCAGAATATTTTGTTTTCTAAGGCAGGAAAAGTCTTAGATGTTTGGTCCAAATAGGCATCATTTAGCCTTTAAAATATTCCTTAGGTATTCTGGAAAACTAAGATGCTATTACATTGTTTTCTTCATGCCTTGCTCTTGAAATGTCTCAATTATAAGTTGTGCTTATTTTCTTGTTGCTGTTTATTCATATGTAATCATAAATAAAAACAGCGTTATTTATTAGCCATGTGATTGTATAAATATACAGATGAAAGTTTTGCTAAATAAACATTTGTCTCATGTCAATATCTACCTTCTAGATTGAATCTGATTCAGCACAAAACTACACTGTATACTATTCTATAAGAGGGCCTGGAGTTGACGAAGAACCCCTGAATTTATTTCATATAGAGAGGGACACTGGAAATCTGTATTGTAATCGGCGTGTAGATCGTGAGCAGTATGAATCTTTTCAGGTAAAGTCTGAAGTTTATGTATTATGTTGGTAATTAGTCCACTTGACCTTTTTTTCTCATTCTCAATTCATTTTACCCTTTTCTGTTTTCTGAGTTTGTCATCTACGCTTCTGATCCTGCAGCCATGGCTTGAAGCAAAAAGAATTTCGTAGATTCTATTAGAAATTTCCCAGCATTATAATTTTACTCTATTTTTCCAAAGAAAAAAGAGTACCACTTCAGAAGCAGTTATTTAGTTGACAAAAAAGATCTGTGGACAGTAGAGTGAGAAATGGGATGTAAGTGAAGTTTAGAATTAACTCTCCCTTAGCAATGGGAGAAAATTCACTTCTGGTGAGCAAGTAAGGACTATGGACAGTGCTTAGCTAAGAAAGATTATTCAATCTTTTCTTCATGTGGGGAGCTTCCCATGGTGAAATGAAAGTTAGTAATGTAAGAATTTAACCTAACGTATTGATTTTTTCCAACAAAAGATTGGTCCTTTAGCTTAGTTCAATTTTAATTATTTTCTATCTGTTTTGGATTAGTTAATTATTCATTAGTAGACTAAATTAACTGAATAGGCATGCAGACATTGAATTAAATATTTAGGGTTAGAATTGCTATAAGGTGACCCTCTAAGGATCTGTGTTCTGCTATTTTTGTGGTAGTTGTTTTGAGAAAAATTGGAATTGAAATTTATATTATAAAATCAAAAGGAATAAATTGTACTTCACACATAATTTGCAGCCATTCATTAATTTTATTTCTGATTTCCCTTTTTAAATCAAAAGTTTGTATGAAGACAGTTACCTGAATTAACTATCAGTGTACCTGAAGTCATAATTAGTATTAGAAAGTAAGACAATATCTCAAATAACTGTACATGGGAAATTTGGAATCCAAAGAATCCAAAGTTTAAAAAATGTATTTAAAATTCATGTATCTAAAACTTTCAAACAAAACAAAATATAATAATCCTTAAGACTGGTTTTGGAAAAGGAAATAAAAAACATTACATTCCTGAAGAACAATACAGCAATAGTGAGGAAAACAAAATCATCTATTAGATAAATTTAAACATAAAATGTTATACTACATCATGAAATTAACCACCTTTTATGGCATTAATGTATGCTCACCTCCAAATTCAATAACAAGAGGTAACCCTCACATTAAAATACTGAACAGTCTATAACTTAAAGCCAACACTAGTTTGAATCATATTTTGATAGATTATTTTTGCTCTTCTTATTTTACCCTCTTCACAGATAGTTGCCTTGGCAACAACTCCGGATGGATATTCTACAGATCGTCCACTTCCCATAATAATCAAAGTTGAGGATGAAAATGATAATCCGCCAATTTTTACAGAAAAAACTTATATTTTTAGAATTGCTGAACACAGCAGAGTTGGTGAGTACCCACTTTAACAGTGTGTGGCAACTGGGTGTTTCACTTCGGTAGTTGAGTTTTTCTATGATCTTGGGAAGCAGCATATCCTGCTGGTAACAAGGGATTTACCCGTCAGGCTGCTCTGTGGGGGATTTTACTCTCCCCTTCACGAGCTAGTGGGGTGATGTGAGCTAGGACCATTTTAAAAATTCTGACAATCTGTGACATGGGAAATCAATACGCAAGTTTGTCATGAAAATTAAATGATAAATAATACACATGGAATGTCAACCACAGGGCCTGTAAAATAGGAGTTATTCAATAAATGTTACTTTACCTTCCTGTTCAAGATAAAATAAATACTTTTAGGAGAACATACTCTAAAAAAAGAGTAAGCCTTTGAGCAACTGAAGTCTTAGCCTTTAAGAGAGCTAATAATGTTCCGTAGTGATTAAATGATTGACAATACTTTGGGCATAATCAATCACAAATGTTGTTGAGAATACTACAAATGTTTTCTCATCCTGCGAGAATGGATCATTTTAGCTGAAAGACAGATTGCAGTTTTTTAGTTTCCCTCTAGAAATACTTAACTAAACCAAAAATTTTCAGAGGAAACATACCCATATGTTTAATTTAAGCACAAGCTTGCAAGTAGAAAAAAGCTTAGAGAACAGTGAACTCTTTAAAAGAAATAAAAGAAATAAAAAGACCATGAAGGGATGTTATCAACATTTATAAAATTATACATTAAACACAGTAAATATAGATATGGTCATCAAATTTCAGAATGTCAGGCTGCTGGTAAGTGGTGATGGAAGGAGACTTGGCCTGTTAAACACACAATACAGCGGACAGATGATGTGTTATAGAATCGTGCCCCTGAAACTTGTGTAATTTTGTTAACCAGTATCACCCCCAAAAACTTAATATAAAGAAAAAAATACATCAAAAACATTAGGCTCCTGAGATATTTAAAAGGAAGGATACTTTATTTTTTCTCTGTTCATAGTTTTTATTTTTTAAATATATTGTATTGATTATGCTATTACAGTTGTCCCATTTTCCCCCTTCACTCCCCTCCACCCTGCACACCCCCTCCCACCCACATTTCGCCCCATTAGTTCATGTCCATGGGTTGTACATATAAGTTCTTTGGCTTCTGCATTTCCTATAGTATTCTTACCCTCCCTGTGTCTATTTCCTATCTACGATTTATGCTTCTTATTCCCTGTACCTTTTCCCCATTCTCCCCACTCCCCATCCCCGCTGATAATCCTCCATGTGATCTTCATTTCTGTGATTCTGTTCCTGTTCTAGTTGTTTGCTCAGTTTGTTTGTGTTTTTAGATTTGGTTGCTAATAGCTGTGAGTTTGTTCATTTTACTGTTTATATTTTTTATCTTTTCCTTAGATAAGTCCCTTTAACATTTTGTATAATAAGGGCTTGGTGATGATGAACTCCTTTCACTTGACCTTATCTGAGAAACACTTTATCTGCCAGAAGGGCTACTTTATATAGAAACACAGAAACTATTATGGTACCATTATATTATTATTATAAAAACTATCATTACTGATATATAAGTGTTCCAAAACACTTTCAAAGTAGATGGAAAGGATGAATCTGAAGGGAAAGTCAAAAATGTAAACGTTTTGGATATTAAAGAGGATTTTTCAATGCGCAGGCTCCACCGTGGGGCAGGTGTGCGCAGTGGACAAGGATGAGCCTGGCACACTCCACACGCTCCTGAAGTTCTCCATCCTGCAGCAGCTGCCAGCATCGCCCAGCCTGTTCTCCATGCACCCATCTACAGGTGTGATTACCACCACTTCATCTCAGCTGGACAGAAAGGTAACATCAATATCAACGAAAAATATGTGTGCCTTGTTGTTGTTTCATGGAACCCGGATATGTCTGTGTATCACCTGTGAATGTGTTTTTGAAAAGTGTGTTGTGAATCTACTTTTAGAAAAAAGATCATTTTAAGTATGTTAATGGCGGTCATCACCTTTGCAGTGCACTAATTTCGAAACTCTAATTCATTCTCTCCTGAATTGTGTTGTATAAGATTGAATTTCCCAATATAAACATTGATGGTATTAAAAACAAATATCAAATATAAAAAGGGAAACTTTTGGAAATGTGTAGAAATTTATCCACAGATAGCAGTGAAAAGAGAGCTTCTTTTTCTATCTGCATCATGTCTTTCTTGGTAGGTTCTTTTGCATTCTTCTCCTTGCATAGATTAAAAGGAAGATTATATCTAATCTGGCATACCGTTTTCAGTTGACTGCTAGAAATGCTTATTTGGATGTTTCAGAGGTACCTAAAATGCAGTGCATCTAAAATCGAACTTTTCCTTCTTTCTAAGCATGCTCTGCTTCCCATCTTTTCTAGTAAAAATGACATTAATGCATCTTTTTCCTGTTAATAATTTTATATTCTGTCCTTGAATTGATGTTCTCCAAGTTGTATTTCATATCTCCCCATATACCTAGATCAACTCACTTTCTACAGCATGTCAATATTACCTTCAAGATTATTCCACTTTTATATTCTGTCCATTTCTGCTGTGACTGTTATACTATAGTAGTGTGTTAACTTGCTTATTTAACTCTTGCCTCCTTCACCAAACATATATTCAGCTGAATTCTTAGAGCAGCTTAGCTGGCCTGCTTACTATGTTTATAATTCTTAATCTTAAAATATAGTATAATAGGTTTCTTTGATTCCTAAAACTTCGTATCAGATTCATTTGCTCTCATTTTCTTTATCCCTCATGGAATAGAGCAATGGCCTTCAAATTTTCGAATCTCGAAATCTCTTTACAATCTTAAGTATTTTTGAAGATTCCAAAGACATTTTCTTTGTATGGGTTATATTTATCACTATTTGCCCATTAGTATTTAAAACTGATGAAAATTTAAAATATGTATTTAATTACTCACTTAAAATAATTATGGATATATTACATGTTAATGTAATTTTTAATAAAAGAACAATTTTATTTTCTAAAATGATAAATAATTTAGTGAGAATAATGGTATTATTATGTAATTTTTCAAACTCTTTAATACCTGGTTTTATATAAGACAGATGGATTCCCATATCTCCTGCAGTGGCTCTGTTATAAAAGGCAGTATTAGCTTATGTACATAAAAAAAAACCCCAAAACCCCACAGATACAAAGTTAGCAAAGAGTAGAGTATTAAATATTTTAATAGTAATTTTAGGTCTTTGTAGATTTCATCTTTGAAACTATACCAAAACTTGACAACTGGTAGTTTCATAAATGTTTTTTGCAAAGTGCACTCTGAAGTCTTATCAATGAACTTTCATACATCGTTACATTAAAACCCATTGGTCTACTTTTATTGTGTGGCTAGTTCACCCATGTGTGATTTTATAACATTATACATTAGTCATATAGATTCACTAAGTTATGCAGAATATATTTCATTGAACAATGTTGAAAATCAACTCTTCACTTCCATTAATATCACAAGGGTAGATGAAAATTTTCTAGAATTCTCATTTATGTTTAAACACTCCAATTTATTATTATTAATAAGTAGTTTTTTCCCTGTAAGGTATCATTCACATTGTTTGACAGAATATGGTTTCTCAAATGTACCAATCTGAAAAACCAGATGCCTTTCATATAGAGATGTATTTTATTTAAAAATAAAACAACAACAGTTTGTTCAGCTCATCAATCAAACAATCACGCAAGTACTTTTCCTTAAGAGAACAGCAGACTGTCCTATTCAGCAGAAGTGCACTGTGTATACCTCCCATTTCTTCCCATGGACAATGACATAGGGAGCAAACCCTAGGCCTGCTGGCCCAATCTGGCCCTCCACCTTCTTTTATGCAGCCTGGCACCTTGTTTCTACCCAGCAGCAGTGCCGTGCTCTCACTTAAATGTTAAGAAGTAGCTATAAGTATACAGTCCTAATGTTACATTTGGCCCTTTGAGGGCAACCGCGAGCCTGATGTGGTCCCTGGCGAAAATGAGTTTGACACCCCTGGCTATGGGCTAAAATGTAGTAAAATTAATCATTTTTTATTGCATCCCCAAAGAAATTTCTAAGTGAAACTGACACTTATTTATCTTAGTATTTGTAAATTCATTTATTTTTATTGTATTTGCCAGTGAAGAATACAGTATCATTTGTTGGATAAATGAATGAGTTAGTGTTAGAGCCCTACACATCATGCAGGTTCTTCATGGAATTAGGTGTGCAGCTAAAGCCAGTTATAAACCACTTCTTCTTTTTATCTTTGTCATGAATGGATCTTTCTGGTAGAATCAGCTAAAAGGTAATGAAGGACCTTTGGAGTACTTTTCTCCGAGAGTGCTCTGGAGTCCCTTTTAGACTCTAGATTCCAGTTTTCATCTGCTATCTTCAATCCTTTTAGCCCTTTAAACATCAGAATTTTTGTTCCATTGGAGGATATCACAAGTTAAGCCCCCCAAAACTTCATTTTTTATTAATCTTTTGGTTACTTCCAATGTCTTAATTTTCTACAAATAAAACACATATTTCCTCCTGAAAGTATACTAGCATGCAGTTTTCAGAACTTTTAAATGAAATAAGGCTATTAGTTTTCGAGTCAATATATGTGGTTGGTTATGAGAAAAACATAAATCAGAAAGTTTTGTGTAAAAAAGCATAGGGATTGAGAAAAATTTTAGGTTTTAGGAAATGTGTGAAGACAGGAATCTTTAAGAAGTGATGGAATTAAAGGAAGAAGGTGGCTATATAAGAGAATAAAATAAGATAGTTTTTCACATATTATCTTATGAGAAGAGACAAACTATGTAGGAAATATATGATTATTGCCGATTTACAGAAGAGGAAACCTATATAAGGAGAATTTTCCAACTGCCTGAGATTACATTTATTATTTTGGGAGTTGGGAATTGGACCCAAGTTTTCTCATGTTCATCTAGAGGCATTATGATGTATTCATAATCATTCTATATCTCCATTACCTATGATAAATAAAACCATCATGGGGAGAAACACAGTTTTTTGAAACTGGTGATAACTTCTGCAATCTCTTCTGAATGAAAAGTCTTAAGAACCAGAGATTCTATTTCCACTGGGAACAAAAATGACATAACCTAGACCCTCATTTTCATACTAATACAAAGATCTTTTTATCAATGTAAAGTTAATATTTAAAATCTGTCTTTTTTACAGAATGATATTTACCATATTGCTTTCTTACAAGGCTGGTATAAAAGTCACTGCTACATATTTTTGAATGTGAAAATGTGTTTTGGATAGGAGACGAAGATTTTGATTAATTGTTAGGCAACTTTAAATGTTCCAGGCTATATCTTTACTTCCTGTTGAGTAAAGCTAAAACCAATGGATTAATTCCATAACCTATGAGTAGTACTATAAACTTAAGAAACTACTCTATTTTAATAAGTTAATTGAAAATTATTAGTGTGAGGAAATTATTCTTCTGCTAGCACATGAAAGCTATGAAATTTAATAGTGTACCTCTGACATTTTTAATGCAAGAAAAATTTGTAGAGTATAAAATTTTATTTATAATGTTGCTGCCACTCAGTAATTAAATTCCTACTTTCTTTGCAGTTAGTTGATAAATACCAGTTGCAAATCAAGGTGCAAGACATGAATGGTCAACCTTTTGGGTTGTACACAACTTCAACTTGCATCATTGAGATTGAAGATGTGAATGACAACTTGCCAACTTTTACTCAAACTTCTGTAAGTACATGATATTAATAAAAAGAAAACTGGGCAGCCCAGGGTTAATTGCTAAATATGCACATCTCTGTCCATCTCACATGATTTCAAATAACATGTCCCCTGGACAGAAGTTTGGAGTGAAGGTTTAAAATCATATAAATATAATACTTTGGAAATTAGATGAAGCAGGCTTACTTCACATGGTGTTCTATTTTTGTGAGTTACTAATTAAATCTTTTTGTTTTGTTTTTATTATTTTAGTATGTGACATCAGTGGAAGAAAATAAAGTTGATGTGGAAATCTTACGTGTTAGTGTGGAGGATAAGGATTTATTTAATACTTCTAATTGGAGAGCTAATTATACCATTCTAAGTGGCAATGAAAATGGAAATTTTAAAATTGTAACAGATCTCAAAACTAATGAAGGAGTTCTTTGGGTGATTAAGGTAAGAATAAATTAGTAAATTAGTTGTTTGTGTTTTATAATATCATAGAACAGCATACTAAAGTAAATGAAAAGAAAGGAATTTTGGTAAATGTAGGAATAAAAAAATATATATAGAGAGAGAAAGATAGATAAATGTAAATGCTATGTTCTTCATGTATAATAGGATGTATATTAATTTTAGAAAAATTTTAATTTAAATTGAGGTATAATTGACACAATGTTATATTAATTTACATTATTTTCAGGTGTGTGACATAATCTTATACTTTTATATATTGCAAAATGATCACCATGATAAAGTCCAGTTAATATTTGTTCCCATACACACAAAAATTCTTTCTTGTGATAAGAACTTTCAAGATCTACTCTTCTAGCTACTTTCAAACATGCAATATAGTATTATTAACTATAATCACCATGCTGTATTATATTTCCATGATATATTTATTTTATAACTGAAAATTTGTACCTTTTGGACAATTGATTCGATAGTCCCTAAGTAGCACTTTAAATTTCAGAAACAACTGTATCTTCATAAATTAATTAAAAATTATTAGCATTAGGAACCTTCTATAAAGGCATGATTTAAAAACAACATTATATATATATATAGGCATCATTTAAAAACAATATTATATATATGTGTATATATATTATACATATTTGTATAATATGATAATAGTATTTACTTTGTAACCACTTTCCTAGCCTGTTCTTTCTTTAGCTGGGTCACGGAGCCTCCACTTCCTGATTTCCCAAATGATGAGTCAATCCAGGTCAAACTCATGGAGAGGTTGTTTGTAGATCTGTTCCTCTGTATTCAGTGTACGTTAGGTCCTTAATTTCCTGGTTCAGAATGAGAAGCCTCCGCTGTTCAAACTTCTAAGTATTCCGCTGAGTACTTCTAAAACGTCTTTTTCATACCACTCTGCAGTATCTCAGCACTCACTGCTAACGCAGGAGCCATGGTTAGCCCATAAAGTGATCCGAGCTTCTTTGGCTTCAGACAGAGTCCAAGGCTTGTATCTGCTTCATCTTTAATTAGAACATGAGTCAGTCCTGGGTCTGTGGCGTTTCCCTTTTGTACATATTCACAGGGAGCATGGATCAAAAATGATAAATGCATTTTTCTTACAATGAGGAAGGTTAGCTGCAATCTGGGTTTCCTTTGTTCAAAACAGCAAAGAAATGTCTTTTAAATCTTGTCTTTTTCTTCACCCACCCCCTGCCCTGTTCCTTGGTATTCTAAAGAGGAAATTTATTTCTGTGAAGTCTAAGACCTGACACAGTTCTCTCTACTAGGAAATGGTTTCACCCCTTCCCATTCCAACTACATATCAGGCAAAATAAAAACCTTTCATTAAGCTTGGTACTACCAGTTTTTAGAACATAATTAGGATGGGAAAGAAGAAAAAAAGGAAAATGTGATGTCCATTAGCTCTCTCTTTTCTTGCTTTTTTTCTCTTAAAAATGTTTTATAAAATTTAACCCACATTTCCCACCTTAAACCCAGTACAAATAACTTGATTCACCTCAGGAGGGTAGGGTAAGCTGTCCCAAAATTAACGAAGTAGTAAATAACTGTTGGTTAGGGTATGGAGCTCCTAAAGTAATATCTCAAGTGTTAACTTTGAACCATTTGCATTAAATATTTCCGGAAATTTGTTTCAAGACCTGTGTTACTTATGTTAAATTCCAGGTTGGGGAAAAAGTTCTTTGTTTGCTTGTTTGTGTTTTGTTTTGTTTTGCTGGCTTTTCCACCTACTAAGTCAGTTGAAGGATTGGGGTCTCGCCACCACCACCTGGTTTCTGGGTATATGCTTAGTATGTGCACTTAGACTATGCACAACATAGCACTCACATAGTCCCAAATGTAACTACTTACATGCACTAGTTAGCATTGCCAAGTATTAAATGTCTTGAACTGATTTACAACACACTTGCTTTTGTAGCCGCTGAATTATGAAGAAAGACAACAGCTGACCCTGCAAATTGGTGTTGTTAATGAAGCTCCATATTTTAGAGAAACGACTTCAAGATCAGCCATGAGCACTGCTACAGTTACTGTTAATGTAAAAGACCAGGACGAGGGCCCGGAGTGTACCCCTCCAGTGCAAACTGTTCGAATTCAAGAAAATGCACCCTTGGGAACAAAGAGCAGTGGATATAAAGCGTATGACCCGCAAACAAGAAGTAGCAGTGGGCTAAGGTATTTATAATTCAAGGTATTTGGAGCTAATTTAATTAGCTCCAAATTTAGCATGTTTTTAAAATTTAGATTTTATTGTGACACCAGGATTGTAATTTAGCTTCTGATACATTTTGTTATTTTAATTCATTATTAACAGATATAAGAAATTAAGTGATCCAAAAGGGTGGGTCACTGTCGATGCTGACACAGGATCAATCACAACTTTAAGAAGCTTGGACAGAGAGGCAGAGTCCATCAAAAATGGCATATACAATGTGACAATCCTTGCATCAGACAAAGGTAAGAACTTTGTTTATAAACCAGCTACATCCGTCCTTAACTACATGCACCCTCAGCTGTTAAACCCGCCACATACGTTTTTAACTCAGCTGTATCCATTCTCAAAATGTGTTTCTCCCCGGATGACATACAAAGTAATTGAGAGGTTTGCTATAATTTATTAACTCATGTCTGCTTTCTAATAGCACCTTTAGGTTTAGATGTAATTATAAAATAATTTGGTCATAGAAATACTTGAAACTAATAATGTATAAAACTTAATTACTGAAAAATGAGAGAATCAGTAAAATTAGCTTTAATTCATCTAGCCATATCTCTTAAAATATTTACTTTGGGAGAAAATTTTATTGTAGAGAGAACATACTTATTGTCCCACAGTGCACTCCTAGAAAATAATTCTCTTTACAGGAAATTAACAGCATACTTGGGGGTTAGAATTCTGAGTAAGGACATTATATAAAAATAAGTCGTAATCATGATTAATAATATATTATAGAACTGGAAAGACAAATGGTACAAATCCACATGTTCATATAAATTGTAAAGTCATGTTCTGTGAGTTCTACAAAATTGAGAGAAATATAAGCACAATGATTATGTGTGAAATTCATTTAGTGCATAAAATAGAATTTTACTATAACACACATTTGAACTTTTTGTGCCTTTTTAAAATAAATATGCTAAATATGATAATATAAATGATTATACAGTATCTTGCAAAATTAGTATTTAGAAGTCATATAGAAAAAATATTTTAGATATCCTAGTTGCCACAAAACTAATGAGAAATGCCTCATAATTTGTTGATTAAATTGATAAAGTTGTAATCATTATCCATTAACTTCAACCAACTAAAGACTGTTAAACCCTTGGCTTCTCATGTGCCTTTGGTAAGGCATATTTTTTTGGTCAAGTGCAAGTGTAAAGAAGAAAAATAATATGAAATTTAAACCCATTATTTTCGCATTTTGATAGCACTTGGCAAATGGTTTATTGATAGTTGAGATTAAAATTACTCTCTGGTGTAAGAGACTTTTTTTCTTTTCTTTTCTTTTGATTTTTGATTTTAGAGAGAGGGGATAGGTAGGAGAAGGAGAGGGAGAGACACACTGATGTGAGAGGAAAATATTGACCTGCCTCCCTCTGTGTGTCCTCTGACTGGGGACCGAACCTGCAACCCTGCCATGTGCCCTGTTCCATTTGTGGGAAGACTCCCAACCAACTGGACCACACAGGCCGGTGCTGAAATTAGAGATTTTGAATACAGTTTTTTTCTGCATTTTTTACTGTTGCGGAGGAGTTAAAATAATTGAGAGATCAAGTATTTGTATGGAACTTAGTCGAGAGGACCTGTCAATCATCACTGTGGTATAAAATACATGTGTAATAAGGCCTCTCCCATTTTTTTAAAAGAAGGTAGGGGGATAGGTAATTACATGTTTTTATTCTATGAACTGAGATCACACAAAATACACTTTTTTGTTTTTTCCTGTTTTTTCCTTTTTTCTGAAATCTATACTGGCTAATTTCATCTGGGCCCGTCACAGGTGTGCACAGGTAACCAGGGGATCACAAATAAAAATTGGACAAATCACACAAACTGAGTAAAGCGAAGCAAGCGAGCTTTATTAGGGACAGTACAGTTCTCAGAATATGGGAGCAGGCTGATCCCCTGAATGGAGAAAGGCCCCCTGTTGTTTGAAGAGTTATAATTTCTAAGGCTTTTTACTTCCTTATTCTTAACGTACTTTGTATTGCGCTTGCATTAGGAGTTATATCATTTTTCTGCAATGGCTCAAGGGATTACCCATCGTTCTCCCTAATTCTCCCTAATTGACCAGTGGGTGGGGGGGGGGCGCTTAGAAACTGCAATGCTAATTTATTACAATCAGAATGTAATGATGCCAAGGTGTCCTGTAGGTTGATCAGGATCAAAGTGCAGGGGCCTGGCTGTGGTTTTAGGTATTACTAGGTTATTACAAGACTGTAATGTTGTAATAAAAACTTTTGGTGTTCCAAAGTGTCAATACCACGTACTTACTTGGATGTCAGCCTCCCAGGACTTCCTCATTTTTATTTTTCTACTGTTTCCAAGTCTCCTTCCTCAAGTCCGGTTACTGGTGGGGAGTGGAGTAGCTGTTTCAGGAACTCAGGCTGTCTGGCCAAGCTTTCTTTAGCATATTTTGCACTTGCTGCACATGCTTTTGGAATGTCATTTCTAACTCTTCGCCTCCTGCCTCAGGCCCTTCCTGCTCCTTCCTAGTGAAAGGTGCTCTCTCCTCCGGAGCACTGACCTCTGAGCTATGCTCACTTCCCACCCTCCTACTTCTCCAAAGTACTTGTTTCTTCTTCTTTTTAAACCTGTCTCTCAAGGGTTCTATGTCTTTGTAACACCTTCCTCTTTTCTATATGCTGTCTGCTTTTGCTAGCTTCTCCTCTCGTAAAGACAGCTACTAACTAAGGAGAATTCAATCTGAGTTCAGTTTTGCTTTCTTTCTCAGTTGCTTCTCGGGCTAAACTTTTGGCAGTTTCACCCAGGTATCTTTTCTGTATGGCTGACTTTTAGATTTCTATATTTGTTGTGTATTCCAAATTTGGGGAGGAAGGTACTTTCCATTTTTTTAAACATTACGTACAAGGAGAGTTCCATGCACGTAAGTCACGGAACCACAGGGAACCACTGCTTCACATGACTACATTTGAAATTAGTACTTGTCCATATAGAATTGTCTTAATACTAAAAGGTGAGCATTGCATGCCTATGCTCCAATGAATAAGAGTGTATTATTTATTTCACTGACAGATGAAAAATAGCTGTGAAACACTGAACTAGATACCTAAAATCTTTGGTTTAAATGTTCCATAACAATACTGATTACAATGTGCAAAAAGGCTATAGTTTAATGCACAACTCTAAATATTTCATGGGAGGGAAATAGAAGCCTTTAGCACTGAAGTAGAAGGACAAACACTGTAGGAACAGTACCATTAACCATTTTTGATCCATAAGACTCGTGTTTCTAATTTGCGTGTGGACCGACATGGGAAAGAAATTTACAAGACATTCAGCAGTTCCAGTTCTCAGCAAGAATGGATACATATTTTGTATACATATTATGTTTTTGTATACATAAGCAAGTACCACGTAGCATGAGAATACGAGAGGTTAGGTGAGATTATTGTGCCCTGATAGAAATTATGCCAGGTAGATAAAATACCCATCTGCCTGCCTTCCCCTCATTATGTCTAGACTATAGGTGCCTATCCTGTGCTTTCCTCCCTTTTTAAATTTCTTTGTGCTTTTCAATATGCCAGAGATGTCTTTGTTTGCACTCTTTTCCTTTTAAAACTTAGTCAAAATTCATGTCTGTAACAGTTTCTATGTCAATTGTGGCTATTTAGCAAATGAACAACAAATCTCAAGATCAGTTATTGTCTGTAAAAACATTGGAAAGTGATGGTATTTTACTTTTAACTCTCCCTAAAGACATAACCCATGACTATTTGTCACTGTCATTTACAGGTGCCTAATGCATTTTTTAAAATTTTAATGTGCAGTTTTCCAGTGATAACTCAAAACATTACAAATTATATTTTTATATTCAATTTTCTAGGTGGAAAAACATGTACTGGGACACTTGGAATTATACTTGAAGATGTGAATGATAACGGCCCAGTCATACTGAAACAGAAAGTGATAATCTGCAAAACCGTCATGTCTTCTGCAGAGCTTGTTGCTTATGATTCCGATGACCCTGTAAATGGCCCACCCTTTAGCTTCAGTTTGGAGGATGATTCTGATTCAAATGTACATACAATGTGGAGACTGACAAAAATTAATGGTATGTATTTCTAACCATTATGTTGTCCTTTTCAACATCAGGGCGTCTCAAATCCTTTTTCCTTTTTAAATTTTTAAAATTAAATTTCTTGGTGTAACATTATATAAATTTCAGGTGTACAAAGTGGGATTTCCTCCCATTGTAATATATTTGACCCCATTTACCCTGTTCATCCTCCCCCCAACCTTAACATACTTCTTTAGCGTATTCTTCTATACTAAATATTCTTTTTTAGTATGTTCTTGTATACATATTATTGTTCTTTTTCATACATGAAATAGAGGACTAACTCACTATATGAGAACCACCAATGAAAAAAGGCAGAGTTCTCAGTTTTGGTGTGGTGGGTTATAGGTCTCTGGTGCTAAGGATTCCCATGGGAGTTACATGAATTCTTATTTTTGTTCTTGTTCCACATACACGCACACTTACAGTGTATGTAATCACTTTCTGACTTGGGTAACTCCCACCCCCATAGATTCTTGGCATGCTAATGGTTCTGTAATGGAGTCCCCATATATTAAAGTTCTGTTCTCCAGGAAGCAACCTCGAGACAGTGTTTCTTGGGCAGAATGTTTAATAAAGAGTTTGCTTGGAATCAATGGCTGTGACAGGAAGGAAATCAGGATTGGGCAAAGAGAGGTCGAGCTGCAGCTCGGGCCAAAGAACAGTCTCAGTTGACCCAATGGGGAGTCTGAGCTGACTCTGCCAAGTGTCCCCAACTTGAGTCTCTTTAAATTCTCCTTGCTCATTCAGTGGGTTGGGCTACCCTGACAGGTGTGACCTTTCACAGGAAGTTACAGTCTCTAAAGGTGCTGATCATCTGCCAAGCAGCTAGGAGAGTAAGTCCCTAATCGCAAGGGGATCTGGGTATGTGTCCCAGTGCCCACTGCACTTTCTCTCCTCTCTCTGCCGCAGTGACTTCTGACCATTTCTTATCTGTTCTTTTCTACTCGAGACTCTCCCCTAACTTGGCTCCTAGTCTGTGATTCTGCCTTTAAGTACAACCATAGCTATGGTGAGAAGAATGGCAAAATTCAAGGGGACCTCTCTCAGTAACACCACTGCAGCACTCCCTGCATCAGCTCGTAACTCCGTTCTCCACCCCCTGGTCTGCCCGTGGGCCACCATGTCCTGGTCTCCCTGTGCTCCAGCTTCAAAACGCATGATCCATTAAGCTGAATGGCATTTGTGTTTAAAATGCTCTGGAATAATTTTCAACCCTAGGCTTTCAACAGATATTCCTTAATTTCCCATTATGGATAATTACAGGGAAAAAAAGTATTGAATAAAGGGAAAGAAAACAGGATGGAGGAAGGCAAAGGTACAGTGGCAAGTTAAGGTGCTATGTCTAACATTTCAGACTATTATAAAATAATAATCTGGTGAATCTTGTATAAAAGAAAATATACACTGAGTAGTTACATTGACATTTTTAAAGCTGTGATAAAAACCAATCTCTTAAGTTTATTAGTTAGGATAGGAAGAATTTACAAACAGATGAATATATTATTACAAACACCAGAAGACCCTTTTTAAAGAGGCATCAGAGATGAACTTTTATTTGTATTATGCTTGCAGCAGCTATGGATTAGAAAACTCGGTCCATTCACATTTACAATCCTGTAGCAGCTGTACCATCCCATCTGGAGCACCCATTTGTGGGGAAAGTTGGTGATTTCTTCTCTCTAGTCAGTTATGCTCAGGAGAAATCAATGCCATTCTCTAATGCTTGGTTTTATTTTCTTTCAGATACAGCAGCACGTCTTGTGTATCAAAATGACCTTCCTTTTGGATCATACACTGTACCTGTCAGAGTTGCAGACAAACATGGCCTGTCTCATGTCTCATCATTAAATGTCATCATATGTGACTGTGTTACCGAAAATGACTGCACATCTCGTGTGCTTCCCAGAACTGGTAGCGCAGAAGTGAAACTCGGAAAGTGGGCCATCCTTGCAATATTTTTGGGCATAGCCTTGCTATTTTGTGAGTCCCTTTATGAACTCGAATAATAGCCTTTAAAATAACTTTCAAGACACATTCTCAGATCAACACTGTTAACCAGAACTGTGTGTCTATAGCTGCATTCTTATATAACATACACATCTAATTTATATACTGAAAGTGCATTTATTTATAGTTCTGTTATACCAGCATAAGCCAAATTTAACACAGAAATACAAACTTGGCATGCTTTTGTGGCATATCTGGTTAAGGCAGGCTTTTCAATTGTATGCTACTTTGACACAAGCCTTCAGAGATGCATTTTCTGGAAAGCTGGCTTTGAATTAGTTGTCGTACATTCATTACTTCCCATTGTTTCATGGTAAACTCGAGCTGCTTCTCTCATCCTCTAGGTACCCTGTTTACCTTAGTCTGTGGGGCTTCTAAGGCAGGCAAAAAGGGACGAGAAGCACTTCCTGACGACTTGGCCCAGCAGAACCTCATTGTGTCAAACACGGAAGCCCCTGGAGATGACAAAGTGGTAAGTAGTTTGTCCCTTTAAAATAAATACGAAGGGTGAATGGCCTAACCAACTATCCTTATCTTTTCTGAATAAAGTTCTTTTTAAAGCAGGTAACTTGCTATACATGAAATGTCGTCAGTCCCATGGAACATGTGAAATGACATTGATTCCCATGGCAGTAGATGGCATTTCAATTTAACCATATAGTGTTAATAATAAAATCTTTTAGCATGTTGAAATGTTTCATGATTTCAACTTTAGACCCAGTCTTTTTTACATTTCGAAACTACTGTTTGTGTTGAAAAAGTGCTTCATAATTATTCACAGATCACTAACATAATTGTTTTAATTTTTTTCTGGCAACAGCAATAAAATGACTATATAAGCTTTGATCAGCATGAGAAGAATTTTAATGGAGTCTTTCTGACTCTGATGTGGGTTCAAAAGGAGACTTAGGTCAAATATATGAAACAGCAAAGCTAGCAAGTGACTGTTGACCCAGCTTTGATTTCTAGCCTAATATGTCAATGAGGAACAAGTAACTCCCTAAAAAAAAGCATTATTGATGATTAGAGCAGGAAAGATTTAGAAAACAAAAGGGTGTTTGCATCCAGGGAGGTAATGGAAAAAATACAACTCGGGAGTCTCTATAACAACATAACATAGAAAATTAGTGGCCAAAACTCTGGTATTTTTCTTTTCCCTGCTGATGTGTTTTTATTGTTGTAATTATTAGTAGTGTTATTTATTGTTGTTCAAGTACAGTTGTCTCCATTTCCCCACTACCACTTTCCCCTGCTCCACCCACCCCCACCGCTCACCCTCCATCCTTCCCCACTGTGGCTTTGTCCACGGGTCCTTTATACATGTTCCTTGATGACCCTTCCCCTATTTTCCTTCATTATCCCTCTCCTTCTCCTGCCTGGTTACTGTCAGTTTGTTCTTTATTTCAATATCTCTGGTTATATTTTGCTTGCTTGTCTGTTTTGTTGATTAAGTTCCACTTTTAGGTGAGATCATATGATATTTGTCTTTCACTACCTAGCTTATTTCACTTAGCATAATGTTGTCCAGATCCATCCATGCTGTCACAAAGGGTAGGTCGTCACAAAGCTCCTTCTTTCTTTCTGCTGTGTAGTATTCCACTGTGTAAATGTACTAGTTTTTGGATCTGCTCATTTACTGATGGGCATTTAGGTTGCTTCCCCTACTTGGCTATTGTAAATTGTGCTGCTATGAACATTGGGATTCATAGGTTCTTATGAATTTGTGTTTCAGGATTCTTAGGGTATAATTCAAGCAGTGGAATTGCCGGGTCAAAAGGCAGTTCAATTTTTAGTTTTCTGAGGATATTCCATACTGTTTTCCACAGTGGCTGTACCAGTCTGCATTCCATCAACAGTGCACTAGGGTTCCATTTTCTCCACAACCTTTCCAGCACTTGTTGTTTGTTGCTTTGTTTATGATGGCCATTCTGGCTGGTGTAAAGTGGTATCTCATTGTGGTTTTAATTTGCATCTCTCTGATACCTAGTGATATTGAGCATCTTTTCATGTGTCTCTGGATCTTCTGTACGTCCTCCTTGGAGAAATGTCTGTTCAAGTCCTTTCCCCATTTTTTAATTGGGTTGCTTGTCTTCTTGGAGTGGAGTCATGTAAGTTCTTTGTATATTTTGGAGATCAAACCCTTGTCCATTGTATCATTGGCAAATATGTTCTCCCATACATTTGGTGCCCTTTTCATTTTGCTAATGTTTTCTTTAGACATGCAGAAGATTTTTATTTTGATGAAGTCCCATTTATTTATTTTTTCCTTTATGTCCCTTGTTCTACAGGATATATGAGTGAAAATATTGCTGTGTGAACTGAGATTTTCCTGGCCGTGTTCTCCTCTAGGACTTTTATGGCATCACAACTTATATTTTAAGTCTTTTATATACCTTGATTTTATTTTTGTGTATTGTATAAATTAGTGGTCAAGTTTCATTTTTCTTCACACATCTGATGAGGTGTCCTAACACCATTTATTGAAGAGGCTATTTTTACCCTATTTTTTGCTTCTGCCCCCTTTGTCAAATATTAATTAACCATAGAGACTTGGGTTTATTTCTGGGCCCTCTATTCTGTTCCATTGATCTATATGTCTGTTCTTTGCCAGTACCAGACTGTTTTTGATTAATGTGGCCTTGTGATATAGTTTGATATCAGGTATTGTGATCCCTCCTACTTTTTTGTCTGTGAAAATTGCTGTGGCTATTGTGATTGTTTATTGTTCTATACAAATTTTTGAAATGTTTGTTCTATATTTGTGAAATATGCTATTGGTTCTTTAACAGGGGTTATGTTGAATCTATAAATTACTTTGGGTAATATGGACATTTTAATGATGTTAATTCTTCCAATCCATGACCACAGTATATGCTTCCATTTATTTGTGGTTTTTTTTTTTAATTTTCTCCTTCAGCATTGTGTAGCTTTCTGAGTACAAATCTTTTACGTCCTTGGATGGGTTATTATTTTTATTTATATCAGAAAGATTTATTATTGCAGCTACGATTTTTATGGCAACTTTATTTCTATTATTTTTGTTTTAGTTGAAGAGGAACTAGATTAGATACTGAACAAAAAGACTGATCATTTTTTTCTGTTTTTTTTCCTAGTCAGGTGAAGAGGGTGCATTTAAACTAAGCAGGGTAAATGCATGTGAGACAATAGTACTGGCATCCTGATTTTGAGGTGTGAGATGCACTGGAAGGTTTTAAGAACTGAAGTTGTATAGTATTCTAAGGAGTTTTTAAAGGCAAATATATTAAGTTTTTTTATTTGTCTCAAGGTGCAAGCCACTTGACATCTGTGATTTACTTGTTGTATTGACCACTGCATGAATACTGGGGTTACAGTAGTTAGGCACCCAGGATGCCAAGGCAGATTTAGTTCCTGCCCTCAGAGAACTTACCTTCTAGCACAAAAATTCAGGGTATTATCTGCAAGGTTTATTCTTCTGCTTCTTCATCTTTTTTATTTTTTTTCATTCTCTTCTGTATTTCTCTAATGCAAAGTGTTTTATTTCAGTTTTATGCAAATGGCTTCACATCCAATACTGCGGGCAGTTCGGGTCAGGGAATTTGCGGCACCATTGGATCAGGAATGAGAAATGGAGGGCAAGAGACCATTGAAATGATGAAAGGACACCAGACCTTGGACTCATGCCAGGGGGCCAGGCATCATCACACTCTGGAATCATGTAAAGGAGGTGGACAGCGCACCCTGGACCCCTGCAGGGGTGGCCACGTAGAGCTAGACAACTGCAGATCCTCATACTACGAGTGGCGTAATTTCACTCAGCCCCGCCTTGGTGAAGTGAGTTTCCTTAGGAGTCCTACAAGTCTATTGTGATTTCTTTTTTGGCTTTCTAAATGATTATGATGTAATGCCTTTATTTTTAATTATTAGTTTACTAGTTGGAAAATTCTTTTTCTTGATTTTGATTTAGTTCCATTCAGATGTGAAGTGGACCTTTCCCTCACATGCTGTTAGCCTTTTAGTTCTTACTGAAATAATGTGAGACATTTGTCTCATGATATTTTGTTAATATGTCCCACCTGACAAGTCGAATCTTAGAAATCAAAAATGTGATACCAGGCGATTCCAGCCTGTATAGTCACTATGCAAACCCAGAAAGATCTGAACCTGCATCCATTTGGGATCAGTTTAAGGGATGGATTCCACTTGAGACACAATTTTGAAAGGGAAAGTAGTGATTTAAAATGATGCCTGCGTGCTTGAGTCACAGCAGGCTTGAGTCACAGTCTAAAATGGCTTTTAGAAACATGCTATATGGTGAATTTACAGTGTGATTTATGATACAGACCAATCATATGCATTTCTTATATATAGGAATCCATTAGAGGACACACTCAGATTAAAAATTTAACAATCAAAGGTAAATCAAAGCCATTATTTTTATGTTAGTAAGTTCTGGTGCTTAGAATCACAATAATAAAGCATGTTGTGTTTTCCCCCTTGGCAGAAGGTGCAGTTGTGTAATCAGGGTGATAATCACCAGCACCCCCAAGACTACATCCTTCCGTACAACTACGAAGGCAAAGGGTCCACGGCTGGTTCCGTGGGCTGTTGCAGCGAACGGCAAGAAGAAGATGGGCTTGAGTTTTTGGATCACTTGGAGCCCAAATTTAGGATGCTAGCAGAAGCATGCATAAAGCGATGAGTGTACCCTAATAAGTTCACGGAAGCCAGTGACTTTATCACCATTCCTTTTTTTTAAAAATTAAACGTCATTAAAAAATAGAAGACACTGTGCTTGGGACTACCCCCTTGTTTTGGTGTGATATCTTTAGAGAAATGCACATTGACTGAGAAATGCTATACAGAAGTGCACATATTCCCAATTCTTAATGTAGTTTTCAATTACTTATCTTCCACTGGAGGAGACCCTCAGAAATAGAAATATTAAGGAAGTCTGCATTATTGTTTACATTGGGGTTTGACAACAGGGGCCAGTCTATAATGCAATCAAGTGTAGACTGTTGTGTTCAATGTAAAACCTTGCACTGAATCTATGTTTCTTCTCTTCCTCACTTTGTTGGCAAAATTTAAGTTAAAAAATGCTTAAAGAGTCCATTTTTAATACTGTAAAGTTTTAGTCTCTCTCTCTCCCCCTCTCTCCCTTCCACCTCCTCCCTCCCTACTCCCCCCTTTCCTTCTCTCCCCCTCCCCCTTTTCATTTCTCTCCCTATGCCTTTCTCTCTCCTTTGTTTTGTAATATTCTCACTTGGGTTGGAAAATTGAAATATTTTTTAAAACCATCTCTTTTTTTATTCTCTTAAAAAGTGAGTTATTCTGTTTCCGTTTTATGTGAGGGCGTATATTCTTGGTTTCCCTTAAAAATCAATGTAATGTTGACTTTTATTGTATCAAATATTTTGATGTTTGCTTCATTGTCTCTTCAACAAAGAACCTTTAATATTGCCTTTGAAATTTTAGAAATGTGTGATTATTTTAAATGAGTTGCAGCATTCTATGTGTTTAACAAAAGGAATAGTATAATTAAAATTGGGATGTGGCTATTTTATATATAGTAGAATATTTATAGTTCAGATCTTTAATACAAGGATAGAGTTTATAAATGTAACATAGTGATGGTTTTTAAAATAAGCTTTGAAATACAGGGATTGTGAAAGCTCTCTAAAACAGCTATTTTGTAACATTTTAGGTGACATGGCTAGTCATACCTTTGTGTTTGTAAAGTTATTTTTTAATATTTTAAGGTTACAGTTTTTAACAAGGTAGAGCAAATTATTTAAATTTTGAGACAATAAGACAAAATTAAACTTAATAGTCAACCAAATTCCAGGCCAGTTTTCATGGCTGATTTTAGTTCATGAATTTTCTGTATATGCTAACTATACAAACATTTAAAATATATTTCTACTATCTATGATTATTAGTAATATGCCTAATCACAAGGTTGACTTATAACAATTATTTTTAAGGGTTAATATTGGGTAATTATTCAATAATCAATGTATCTTTTCAATAGTTTCATTACTGCTCAGTCAAATATGCTATTTCTCAGTTATTAATAAATTGTGTACAGACTTCTTGTATAGTACTGGTTATGAAAAAGTAAATCAAGTAGTTTTTAAAAATTAGTTTGAGATAGTTAATCATGGTGGTGATATGAGCTTATGAGATTTTATTTTCTCACTGAGAGTCTATTTGGAATCCTGTTATATATTTTTTAGAATCTTAAAGTTTGATTTGATCCATTGCTATAATTTTTCTGTTCTAAAAGCTGTGATGTTATGGGATATTGGTTAAGTTGCATAATTTCTGTTGTGTCTGGTTTGTTGTGTGTTGTTTCTGGTTTGTTTTCTATTATAAAATGGGGAATAATAATAGAAGTCCTTTCCTAGGATGACTGTAAGACATTTGAATAAAAATGGGTTTTAAGCATGAAAGTTACTCATAGTGATCCACCCAAAAGACACTTTTAATAATACTAAATGATTTTAAGTAAGTAACATGTACAACCTACTTTGTATTAAGAAAATAAGATAGCAGGAAGAGTTTTTTTAAATTTTAGAGTATTTGTCAGTTGGGTATGTATCTTGTCATAATGTTCACTTGGCTGGGTATCATATCTTTGATGGTTCAGAACATACATTACACAGGTTGCTGAAGCTTCTATAAAGCATTGCCTAGTTTGAAATACTGTAAAACTAATTAGATAGAAGCATCTCCACTTCTTAAAATGGGCACTAGTTCTAAGGCCCTATAAAAACATACATATATAAGATCCCTTCTGTCAAGCTCTTCCTGAGCTGTTCTCCCAGCCGTTCTGCTGGGGAATTGCTCAGAGGCAAGCAATTACTTGCTTGGGAGGTGAAGTCCCTTTGACAGTTACTATTGTAACACTAAGCACAGACTCTGGAGAGAGTACCTTGATGCTAACTCCCCACTCCGCCCTTACTAGCTGTGGGATTTCAGAAGTCACATTTTGAGTCTAGTGCCTTCACTTGTATGACCTGCTTGAGAGGTTTGGAGGAGGCTGCTCCATAGATTTGTTGTCAGAGTTCAGAGTTCATTCATGAAAACGAGTTGGCACAGAGTTAGCACTCAATATACAAGGAAGACCCAAAACAGCAGAAATTTATGTGTAAAAATTGTGTATTCTTACATATTTAAACCTCACACACCTTCAAAGTACTCTCCAGTTGATGTAGTACACCTATTGAGACATTTTTTTCCATTGCTCAAAACAGTTTTTGAACTCATCGATTTCGATGCCTTACCACTGAACACTCAGTGTGGGTGGGTTGGTGCGCTCGTAAATTACCCATTATGATGAAATGGGCAAATGCACTGAAAGGGTCTTCAAAAAAATTAACTGAAACCAAAGCAGGCTTTCACAATGCCAGCTGCTACACTGTACTGAACCCCAGATGGGTTCCTAGAATACTCACCTAACGAGGGAAGCCTGTACTATAAGGGGCCTGCCCTCCAGAAGATAATTCCATTTTTTTGAGTCCCTCCTAGTATGTGAGTTGCTACTACTGTATAAGATGACACTGTAGTTGGGAATAATAAGTCTAGTCTCCACTTTGCTTTACAGCTGATGTCATGCAATGACATTTCATTGATCTTTCCAAAAAGCTTGACCAGTATTTTACCATGTTGGCTTTTGGGAACTTCATGGCTTATAATAGCTTTCATGTCTCTCATTCCTGGCATTCAGGAAGCTACATCTTATTCATAGCCCACAGATTACTACAATAAACCTGGAGAGTTAAAAGAGCAGCTGATAAAATTCCTGATCAGCCATGTATTGCCTCGGAAGGCAAACAGGAATCGAACTCTTAGACTCTTTCCCTAAGAAATGGATGGCGCTGTTTCAACAGGAAGAAAGCAAGGGGGATCTGCTTGCTGTCAGTTCAGTGCAGACTGTGTTTGGGATCTCCCTGTAATCATTTTCTGCTTCTGTTTTTTTCTTTTTTAAATTCCCCAAGTCAGCCCCTTAGCAACATCCTGAGAACAGAATCCTTTTCCTTGTATGTGTCTAGAGCCATCATATTTTCAACCTCCTTGAATAAATGAAGTTCCTGGAGGTTACACAATACCTCTGTAGATCTACAGCTTTTACTCAGTTCTGTGAGATCCATTATTCCCCTAGCACTTTGAACTTGTTATGCAAAAACACAAACATGTTATCACAGCACATCAGGTTCTCTTTTGTTTTTTATATAAATAGTCTCCTAATAACATAGGCTTGAAACAGAATTCTCAATTCTTTCTTTCTGCATAGCACAATCTATTTGTTGCTCCAAGCTGCCCAACTTTCTGAGAGTTTTAAATACAATTTCATTCATTATCTTTTTTTTTTGCACATGGTCATTTATTTAATTCCTTCCCAGTATAGCCATGTAAGGTTGGTATGAGAAGGATTCAGAATGAATCAGCTGCTCATCCACCCACACACTCTAGTGTAGGACAAGACACAGTATAGCTTTGAGTGGATGTGTATGCAATAGGCCAACACCTGTAAAACATATCACATGATACCTGGCAGGCAATACCTGGCACATAATATGTGCTCGTAAAAAAATTCCAGATAAGGCAAAAGAACTGGAAAATTCAAGTAAGTGAAGGTGTGTTTCTGCTACTCCCAAGCCAAGTGTTCATGACCATGAGGAGTCCCCAACTTTATCTCTCCTCCACCCCTCTCTTCATAAGTAAGTTTCTGCAGCCAGTATCCCAGTTGAAACCCTAACATCATTCAACTGCCATAGTGTTTATGCTTCCAGTCTCTTCCCACCTTCCAACTGCTGTCAAGCAACAGATACGGTCGTGGCATTTTCCTGCCTAAGGGCCCTTCATGGTTTCAGAATATATTTGAAAGGCAAAAATCACTTTTGAATACTGATATTCCTATACCCTTCCACACACATTGTGTTGCTGCTGATGAGGTCTCCATTTGCAATGTCCTTACTTGCTATTCACTTCTTCCTTTATGAAAATATGACTTTTTGAAGATGTAATTTAAACACTATCTCCTCTAATCATAGTCATTTATGTATCTAGAACAACAATTTTCAACCTTTTTTATTTCATGGCACACATACTAATTAAAATTCTGCATTACACCAAATACATATTTTTGCTGATCCGACAAAAAATAGGTATAATTTTGATTCATTTACACCCTGACAGCTATTGTACTGGCTGTTATCATTTTTTATTTGATAGTCTAAAGGGATAGAGGTCAGTGCCCCTGACTAAATTGCATGTTTTAAAAATTCTTGTGGTACACTGGTTGAAAAATCATTGGTCTAGAGTACATTGATATATAATTTTTGCTTATAGGTTTATGTATGTTTGTGTATGTGTCTGTATATGAGTACATTTATATATGTTTGTATGTGTCTCTTTTCATAAGGGAAATTTACTGAGGACAAAGAAAGGTGTTCATATTTGCATGTCAGTGGAAATCTGTGCATTTTGATGAGTCTCATTGTATTGCCCAAGTTGCAAAGAAGAAAAAGAAAAAATAACAAATTCTTATTTAATTCTTCGCACACTACATTTCTTTCCCTTGACATAAAATTTTCATTGTAGATAGACATTAGGTGCATTAGATTCAGCACTGAATTATTTTTTTCAACAGAGATATTGAATGCAGAGAATATCAAACATTTGCATTCACAACTTAGTGCAAGAAAGTGAGGTGGTGAAGTTTTGTAATCCCGAAAATTTCTCTCTTCTGCATCCAAGCATAACCATTAAAGGAGAAGAGGCAACCAGTAGGAACTTCTCCCTTGGGGTGATGGGGATGGCAGATCCTGCTGGGATATTGCGGTTCACTCCTTACCTCAAATATTGGCACAACCTTCTTGTAACCAACTGCACTGCACTGAAATGTAAGTCCCAAAGGTTTTGTCCACCTTTGTCATCTTGTGTGCCCAGCACCCAGAACAGCAGACCATCAGTTTATTACATGAACAGACTAATAAATTTACAAACTTATTAGGTACCTGATCAAAATTAGACTGTCGCCTTATTAAGAGCCATTTATTCCTCAACGTGAAACTCACTGACCAATGTGAAAATTGTATTTGTGACAGTTGGTCATGTCAACAATTTCCAACAGTGTAGTAAAAATCATTTCTACTAAGTGGCCACTTACTAATAATTACCTGAAGTAAAACAGTTGAGTCATTTATGTTTTAGGCATTCAAGAAGCCATTCTTAAGGGTTATGTTAATGATAAACGGTTGAAAGTTAAGTCTTGACTCAAGAAGTGTCTTAAGAAATGAGACACAGGAAAGGTGATGCAGATCTAAGAGCTTCCTCCTAGTAAGACTGGGAGAACATTCTGCAACCTGACACCACGGTGCTCCTGTGCACTAAAGGAGAAGAAAACCTGCTGATGGAAACCAGAAGAAAGGAAAAGAAACCTGCAGCTGTGAGCCTGGGGGGAGCATGACTGTTTTGCACCGCGAGCTGATCCTTTTGCCTGGAAGATAACACAGTGAGGCGTGAAGCCCTTTTCTGCAGTTCTCTGCCAGACTAGTTAAACCAACAGAGCTATCCAACTAATAAGGGCAAGGCTTAGTAAAGAGCAATACAGTTATAGGGTTGTGTTTGTTGATTTTTGGATAGTTTGTATGTGTTCTTTTTTTTCCTCTCTCCCTCAGGTCTGGGTTCCCAGTTTGAAGACTAAAATCACACAAAGTGAAATTCTGATTTTTTTCCCAAGAAAATTCTCCCTCCCTGTTTTTTACTCCACCAGCTAAGGAACAATTGATATTGCTTTTAAATTTAAAAAAAATTAAACCAAGATATATCACTCAGCTACATTTTAAAATAAGAAATAGCCTTGGCCCAGTGGCTCAGTTGGTTGAGCATTATCCAGTTCACCAAAAGGTTGTGGGTTCAATTCCCAGTCTGGGCACATGCCTAGGTTTCTGGTTCGATCTCCTTTTGGGGTGTGAATGTGAGGCACTGATTGATGCTTCTCTCTCATGTTAATGCTTCTCCCTCTCTTCCCCACTAAAAAATAATTAAACATATCTTCAGGTGAGGATTAAAAATATATATATATGTAAAACTGAATAAACAACATAGAGTCCTCAATGAAATAAAACACAATAATGCTCAAAAAAGAAACAGAAAATAAAAAGTAAATTAATGCCCTGGTGCTGCAAGCTATTCGAATAAGCGGAGCACTTTGATCTTATTTTATTTAAAAAAATCTTTTTTTAAAAAAAGATTTTATTTACTTATCTTTAGAGGAGAAGGGAAGAAGAGAGGGAGAGAAATATCAACGTATGGTTGCCTCTCGTGTGTCCCCTGATGGGAACTGGCCTACAACTCAGGCATGTGCCCTCACTGGGAAGCGAACTGCGATCCTCTGGTTCACAGGCGCGCACTCAATCCACTGAGCTACACCAGCCAGGGCAAA